AATTGCTTACATCCACTTTATTTGAACTTTGGTGGATAGTTGTCTCATTGGCAATCATACCTTATCTCCTTATTTTTATAAGGGTAAAAATGATAAGCATGTTAAGATTTATCTGCCATGTAATTTTTCAAACCAATTGGACAACACTATTTGCAGTTATTGCATCTGGAATTATAAATTTTACGAAATATCTCTGTTTTTTTTTTTTTTTTATTATTATCTTAAATGCTGATAAAGAGAAATTTTGAACAGCAAAAATGGCCAGCAATTTGAGATCTACAACTAAGTTAACTGACCGAAATTGTAAATTTATCCCTTATCGGAGTAATTGGCTTGAAAAGCTTTTTTTTTAAAATTAAACTTTCATTTTTTTTTTAAGAAACTATAATAGATGAAGTGAAACTTTAAGTGACAAAAATGTTCAACAAAATTAGATCTACGAATAAGTTAACATGACCAAACTGGTCAACTGATCCTTTATAGGAGTTATTGCCCTTGAAAGATTATTTACCAAAAGTTTAAATCTTTTGGAGAAACTATGTTGGACATGGATAAACATTAAATGGCAAAGATCTTTAGTAAAATAAGACCTACAAATAAGTTATCATGACCGAAATTGCCAATCGAGCTCTCAAAGGAGTTATTGTACTTATTTGACATATCCTTGCCATTTTATTTTTCAAATGTAGGAGCTAGATTAAAAGTTTAATTTTGGAAAATGATCTACATGATGACATGTATCCACATGTATGGAAATTAATCTAACCACTTGTTTTTGAGTTATTGCCCCTGAAATGTCTATTTTTATAATTTTTAACAGTATTGGCTGTTATCATGAAAACTATATGAGCTAGATTAAAAGTGTAAATAAAAAAAATAATAATCAGCATAACAAGACCTATTTACTATGATATTTTTAGCAACAAGTTTTAGAAGTATTCCCCCTTAAATGTTGATTTTAACTGTTTTTGAAGTTTTGGCTTTTGGTTTCTAAAACCTATAGGAGCTAGGCTAAATTATAAATTGCAAAAACGATCAGCAACAGAAAGAGTAACTAAATTATGTGCATATCAAAGTCCTCATTAGCAAACTGGCGAATTTTTTTCATCAGGTGAGCGATAAAGACAGAGTTGTTCCTCTTGTTTATATGTCAAATAAATAATTAACTTTTCTCTGTGAAAAAGCCCACATCCTTACTACAACGCATACAACACGTATTTAAGAAATGTTGTATACAAAAATGGGTTTGGGAATTAATCAATGATTTTTTGGGATATTTCAAAATAGTTTTAGGGATACAGGATGTTTGTAAAAAATATTTATTGGGATATTAGGGGTAAACATTATAGGGATATGGGATATTGGGACAAAAACTTAATGGGATATGGGATATTGTTATCCCCCCTAAACAAGCCTCAATATTACAGTATTTGTTCCTTACGGAATAAAGGGTATAGAAAAGTGTTCCTACAGGAACAGATATTATGACATTGTTTATAACAAAGTTTCCAGAGGAACTTCTGTTAGGCGGAACAAATATACGTTGACAGTAAGACACATCTATCAGCATCCCTCGGTCTTCCAGGTCAAGAAATAGGACGAAAAATCGTCAAAATTGACGTTTTTTGCACCCGATGACCAACTTTGGGGCTAGTTCCCGCCCACTCACCCGACCTGTGATCCACTATCTTAATCAATATGCATCATTCAGCAGCAGGGTAAAGCTCATTTGTATGTAATTTGCATATTTTTGCAAATAAACGAAAATTAGACATTTTCTGAAAACAATTCAGCATGGTAAGTGTTAAGGCCTTTGGTGGTAGAAATCAAGTTTTTCCAGTATAGCTCCAATTTCGATGTTTTTTCATCTTATTTGGGGTTAGATTGGGTTATCAAGGCCTCCAGATACACTGGTTTGCTCAAAAGCACTTTTAAATTTATTTTTATTTTTGTTGTTTATTAAACCCTTACCATGCGGTGCCCGTCATATGACGGGATAACCCAAACTACCGTTATTTGGCTCCAATGACTTTCCATACTTTTAGAGGTCAACTTTATGACATTAATTTCGAAGTTAATGCATGTTTCCTCAACCTGAGGCTATTTATTGTCATGTTTCTCATGTTTAACATGCATTTTCAGCTCAAATACGAATTTGGAAAATTGAAATCAAATAAAACTGGTGTTTCTGGAGGGGTGGGCTTCCCTTCGGTGTCAGACACACGCAGTTCAGAGGCCTAAAACTTTAATAAAATGCTCCGCTGGGCGCAGCTTGATACGACCGAAGAGGTCGAACCCTGAACAGCTGGGGCAAGTATGGACACAACATTCAAGCTTGATACACACTGAATTTGGATTGTGATTAAATATTTGACACAGCATAGGTTTCTGACACAGAGTGAATGTGGTCTAAGAACTTATGGTTTGAATAGGTAAATTAAAAACTTATATCATTTTTATTTGCTTTTATATATGTAGGACTCTAAAGTGCGATGGTCACGCTAAAGTGCGATGGTTGTTTGTTTGCTAAAGTACGGTGGTATATCAAGCTAAAGTGCGATGGACCAATAGGGTAAGGTTCGAGGGCTTTAAAAACGTTAAAGAACATAAGATGTAAAAATAGTCCTTTTGCAAAATCTAGTAATCTAAGGTGTACCTTATGTGATAGGCATTATAATCTACTGGTAGGCTGAAGTGATTGTTTCTAAATTTAGAAGACCGACCACGTAATAATTTCTAAAAAGGTAATTTAGGTGTCACAAAATACTATATTTCTACTGATTATTGTCGGAATATGTAACATTTATTTGTTAGCTTTAATCTAAATGAGAGAAAAAGGCGATGTTCGCCGAGTTTTCTCCTTTTTCGTAGCGACTACACATACATGTTATATTTTCCTATAATGTACAAACTAATATTTTAGCCGACAATTTATAATTTACGCATGCAAACATGTACCTTTATTTTACCGATGTTACTTTTTAAAGCGACAATATTTTAACGGGGACAGCAAAGTAAACTGCAACATAAACAATGATTTAAATGTATCCGTTCGCTTCCAATAAAAGCACGATACAGGATATTTATGCGAATACTATTTTGTATCTAAATAGTAAAATGGTCGACTGCAGGATACAAGTTCTTCTTCCAGCTACCGAAAAAAAAAACACATTTGCTTCAGACGTCAAAGCACGGTTAGGTTTGAATTAATTATTAATAAGTCATTGACATTTCGTTTAACAGTTGTTAATCAAATATTAGTAATTTATCTTCCGGCGTGTTCATTTTTAGTTTGTATAAACGACTGTTAACGTCATAATCAAACTACGTTTCTTACGTCTATACTTTCGCGGACCATCGGACTTTAGCGTATGGAGGCATCGCACTTTAGCGTATACCATCGTACTTTAGCGTGACCATCGTATTTTAGCGTCCCAATCGCACTTTAGAGTCCTACATATATAAATCAGAAATAACCAATTTAAAATGGAAAAAAAAAGGAAAAAAAGGAAAAAAAAATCCCTCCCCCCCAAATTTTTTAACCCCCTTATGATTCATCACCCCCAAACTCAATCCCAGCCTTCCCTTTGTGGTATGGTACCTTGCAGTACAATTTCAGAGAGATCCATACACTTGCACACAAGTTATGGACCTGAAACTAAAATAAAATGCTTCGCTGAGCGCAGCCTGATACGACCGCAGAGGTCAAACCCTGAACAGTTGGGGCAAATTTGAACACAATATTCAAGCTTGATACTGTCTGAATTTGGATTGTAATCAAATTTTTGACATTATATAGGTTTCTGACACAAAATAAATGTGGTCAAAGATCTTATAAATCCATTGCGCAATACTGTTCAACTGAAGATTTCTTCTTGAGAAACTTTTCAAAAATTCGATATTTTAAAAATTTTGAAAAAAAAAATATGAATCCCTTAAAAAAATACGGGAAAAAATCCCCCCCCCCCAACTTTTTGAAACCACCCTTGGAGCAATAACCCCAAAACTCAATCCTAGCCTTTCCTTTGTAGTATGGAACCTTGTAATACAATTTCAAAGAGATCCATATACTTGCACACAAGTTATTGTCTGGAAACTAGAAAAATGCTTGTTTTTGGCACCTAATTCCTACATGTTTGGGGCAATTAACCCCAAACTCAATCCCAGCCTTCCCTTTGTTATATGGAACCTTGTGGTACAATGTCAGAGAGATCCATACACTTACACACAAGTTATTGTCTGGAAACTAGAAAAATGCTTGTTTTTGGCCCCTTTTTGGCCCTTAATTCCTAAACTGTTGGCCCCATAACCCCTAAAATGAATCCCAACCTTCTACTTGTGGTATTAAACATTGTGGTACAATTTCAGAGCAATCGAAATACTTATACACAAGTTATTATCCTGAAACTAGAAAAATGCTTGTTTTGGGCCCCTTTTTGGGCCCCTAATTCCTAAACGGTTGGGACCATCATCCCCAAAATCAATCCCAACCTTCCTTTTGTGGTATTGAACCTTCTTAAAAAATTTCATAAAGATCCATTCACTTAAACTAAAGTTATTGTCCGGAAACCAATGTGTCTTCGGACGACGACGACAACATCATACCATTATACGATCCCCAAAAAATTTTTGCGGTCGTATAAAAATGCTTGTTTTTTGCCCCTTTTTGGCCCCTAATTCCTAAAATTTTGAGGCAATTACCCCCAAAATCAATCCCAGCATTCCCTTTGTCATATGGAACATTGTGGTACAATGTCAGAGAGATCCATACACTTACACACAAGTTATTGTCTGGAAACTAGAAAAATGCTTGTTTTTGGCCCCTTTTTGGCCCTTAATTCCTAAACTGTTGGCCCCATAACCCCTAAAATGAATCCCAACCTTCTACTTGTGGTATTAAACATTGTGGTACAATTTCAGAGCAATTGAAATACTTATACACAAGTTATTATCCTGAAACTAGAAAAATGCTTGTTTTGGGCCCCTTTTTGGGCCCCTAATTCCTAAACGGTTGGGACCATCATCCCCAAAATCAATCCCAACCTTCCTTTTGTGGTATTGAACCTTCTTAAACAATTTCATAAAGATCCATTCACTTAAACTAAAGTTATTGTTTGGAAACCAATGTGTCTTCAGACGACGACGACAACATCATACCATTATACGATCCCAAAAAAATTTTTGCGGTTGTATAAAAATGCTTGTTTTTTGCCCCTTTTTGGCCCCTAATTCCTAAAATTTTGAAGCAATTACCCCCAAAATCAATCCCAGCCTTCCCTTTGTGGTATGGTACCTTGCAATACAATTTCAGAGAGATCCATACACTTGAACACAAGTTATTGTCTGGAAACTAGAAAAATGCTAATTTTTGGCCCCTTATCCCTAAACGTTTTGGGCAATTACCCCCAAACTCAACTCCAGCTTTCCCTTTGTGATATGGAACCTAGTAGTACAATTTCAGAAAGATCCATACACTTACACACAAGTTATTGTCATGAAACTAGAAAATTGCTTGTTTTTTGCCCCTTTTTTGGCCCCTAATTCCTAAAATTTTGAGGCAATTACCCCCAAACTCAATCCCAGCCTTCCCTTTGTTATATGGAACCTTGTGGTACAATGTCAGAGAGATCCATACACTTACACACAAGTTATTGTCTGGAAACTAGAAAAATGCTTGTTTTTGGCCCCTTTTTGGCCCTTAATTCCTAAACTGTTGGCCCCATAACCCCTAAAATGAATCCCAACCTTCTACTTGTGGTATTAAACATTGTGGTACAATTTCAGAGCAATCGAAATACTTATACACAAGTTATTATCCTGAAACTAGAAAAATGCTTGTTTTGGGCCCCTTTTTGGGCCCCTAATTCCTAAACGGTTGGGACCATCATCCCCAAAATCAATCCCAACCTTCCTTTTGTGGTATTGAACCTTCTTAAAAAATTTCATAAAGATCCATTCACTTAAACTAAAGTTATTGTCCGGAAACCAATGTGTCTTCGGACGACGACGACAACATCATACCATTATACGATCCCCAAAAAATTTTTGCGGTCGTATAAAAATGCTTGTTTTTTGCCCCTTTTTGGCCCCTAATTCCTAAAATTTTGAGGCAATTACCCCCAAAATCAATCCCAGCATTCCCTTTGTCATATGGAACATTGTGGTACAATGTCAGAGAGATCCATACACTTACACACAAGTTATTGTCTGGAAACTAGAAAAATGCTTGTTTTTGGCCCCTTTTTGGCCCTTAATTCCTAAACTGTTGGCCCCATAACCCCTAAAATGAATCCCAACCTTCTACTTGTGGTATTAAACATTGTGGTACAATTTCAGAGCAATTGAAATACTTATACACAAGTTATTATCCTGAAACTAGAAAAATGCTTGTTTTGGGCCCCTTTTTGGGCCCCTAATTCCTAAACGGTTGGGACCATCATCCCCAAAATCAATCCCAACCTTCCTTTTGTGGTATTGAACCTTCTTAAACAATTTCATAAAGATCCATTCACTTAAACTAAAGTTATTGTTTGGAAACCAATGTGTCTTCAGACGACGACGACAACATCATACCATTATACGATCCCAAAAAAATTTTTGCGGTTGTATAAAAATGCTTGTTTTTTGCCCCTTTTTGGCCCCTAATTCCTAAAATTTTGAAGCAATTACCCCCAAAATCAATCCCAGCCTTCCCTTTGTGGTATGGTACCTTGCAATACAATTTCAGAGAGATCCATACACTTGAACACAAGTTATTGTCTGGAAACTAGAAAAATGCTAATTTTTGGCCCCTTATCCCTAAACGTTTTGGGCAATTACCCCCAAACTCAACTCCAGCTTTCCCTTTGTGATATGGAACCTAGTAGTACAATTTCAGAAAGATCCATACACTTACACACAAGTTATTGTCATGAAACTAGAAAATTGCTTGTTTTTTGCCCCTTTTTTGGCCCCTAATTCCTAAAATTTTGAGGCAATTACCCCCAAACTCAATCCCAGCCTTCCCTTTGTTATATGGAACCTTGTGGTACAATGTCAGAGAGATCCATACACTTACACACAAGTTATTGTCTGGAAACTAGAAAAATGCTTGTTTTTGGCCCCTTTTTGGCCCTTAATTCCTAAACTGTTGGCCCCATAACCCCTAAAATGAATCCCAACCTTCTACTTGTGGTATTAAACATTGTGGTACAATTTCAGAGCAATCGAAATACTTATACACAAGTTATTATCCTGAAACTAGAAAAATGCTTGTTTTGGGCCCCTTTTTGGGCCCCTAATTCCTAAACGGTTGGGACCATCATCCCCAAAATCAATCCCAACCTTCCTTTTGCGGTATTGAACCTTCTTAAAAAATTTCATAAAGATCCATTCACTTAAACTAAAGTTATTGTCCGGAAACCAATGTGTCTTCGGACGACGACGACAACATCATACCATTATACGATCCCAAAAAAAATTTTGCGGTCGTATAAAAATGCTTGTTTTTTGCCCCTTTTCGGCCCCCAATTCCTCAAATTTTGAAGCAATTACCCCCAAAATCAATCCCAGCCTTCCCTTTGTGGTATGGTACCTTGCAGTACAATTTCAGAGAGATCCATACACTTGAACACAAGTTATTGTCTGGAAACTAGAAAAATGCTAGTTTTTGGCCCCTTATTCCCTAAACGTTTTGGGCAATTACCCCCAAACTCAACTCCAGCTTTCCCTTTATGATATGGAACCTTGTAGTACAATTTCAGAAAGATCCATACACTTACACACAAGTTATTGTCATGAAACTAGAAAATTGCTTGTTTTTTGCCCCTTTTTTGGCCCCTTATTCCTAAAATTTTGAGGCAATTACCCCCAAAATCAATCCCAGCATTCCCTTTGTCATATGGAACATTGTGGTACAATGTCAGAGAGATCCATACACTTACACACAAGTTATTGTCTGGAAACTAGAAAAATTCGTAAGGGTTCCGCGGAACCCAGTGTCTCGCCTACTTATGCTGTTAATCGCAGGCTCAACAAAAATGAGGAAAAAAATAAATAAAAATATTCCTCTCTATACTATCTTTTGATTGTAAGTAGCTTCTGTCCAAGTTTGGTAAAAATCCAGGATAGTTTATGATTCTAATAAATGCTTTAAAAACTTAAACTGCAGACTGTATGTAATGTTAACTGGAAGAAAAACAAAGTCCATTTATAAGTAAAAAACGGAAAAAGTGGAACAAAATTTTAACAAATTTTCCTTCTAGATACTAGCTTTTAATCATAAACAAGCTTCAGTCCAAGTTTGGTACAAATCCAGGATAGTTTAAGAAAGTTGTTAAAATTTAAAAAAACTTTAACCACAGAGTGAATGTAATGTAAACTGGCAGAAAAACTAAGTCCATTTATAAGTTAAATAAGGAAAAAATGGATTTTTTTTACAAATTTTACTTCTGGATACTATCTTATGATCATAAACAAGCTTCTGTCCAAGTTTGGTACAAATCCAGGATAGTTTAAGAAATTTGTTAAAATTTTAAAAACTTTAACCACAGAGTGAATGTAATGTTTCCTGGCAGAAAAACTAAGTCCATTTAAAAGTAAAAAAGGAAAAAATGGATTTTTTTTTTTACAAAATTTACTTCTGGATACTATCTTATGATCATAAACAAGCTTCTGTCCAAGTTTGGTAGAAATCCAGGATAGTTTAAGAAAGTTATTAAAATTTCAAAAACTTTAACCACAGAGTGAATATTTGTGGACGCCGACGGAATGTAGGATCGCTATGTCTCGCTTTTTCGACAAAAGTCGAAGGCTCCACAAAAATGCTTGTTTTTGGCCCCTTTTTGGCCCTTAATTCCTAAACTGTTGGCCCCATAACCCCTAAAATGAATCCCAACCTTCTACTTGTATTATTAAACATTATGGTACAATTTCAGAGCAATCGAAATACTTATACACAAGTTATTATCCTGAAACTAGAAAAATGCTTGTTTTGGGCCCCTTTTTGGGCCCCTAATTCCTAAACGGTTGGGACCATCATCCCCAAAATCAATCCCAACCTTCCTTTTGTGGTATTGAACCTTCTTAAAAAATTTCATGAAGATCCATTCACTTAAACTAAAGTTATTGTCCGGAAACCAATGTGTCTTCGGACGACGTCGACAACATCATACCATTATACGATCCCAAAAAAATGTTTGCGGTCGTATAAAAATGCTTGTTTTTTGCCCCTTTTTGGCCCCTAATTCCTAAAATTTTGAAGCAATTACCCCCAAAATCAATCCCAGCCTTCCCTTTGTGGTATGGTACCTTGCAGTACAATTTCAGAGAGATCCATACACTTGAACACAAGTTATTGTCTGGAAACTAGAAAAATGCTAATTTTTGGCCCCTTATTCCTAAACGTTTTGGGCAATTACCCCCAAACTCAACTCCAGCTTTCCCTTTGTGATATGGAACCTTATAGTACAATTTCAGAAAGATCCATACACTTACACACAAGTTATTGTCATGAAACTAGAAAATTGCTTGTTTTTTGCCCCTTTTTTGGCCCCTAATTCCTAAAATTTTGAGGCAATTACCCCCAAAATCAATCCCAGCATTCCCTTTGTGATATGGAACATTGTGGTACAATGTCAGAGAGATCCATACACTAACACACAAGTTATGTCTGGAAGTTACAAAAATGCTTATTTTTGGCCCCTTAACTGTTGGTACCATTTGTGGGGTGTGGTATTGAACCTTATGGTAAAATTTCATAGAGATACATTCACTTAAACTAAAGTTAGAGTGCGAAAACCAATGTGTCTTCAGACGCCGGACGAAGACGACGCCAACGTCATACCAATATACGACACCAAAATTTTTTTGAGGTCGTATAAAAATTAGTGTAAACCTGCGGGAATATATAACTGATCGTGTTTATTATTGAAATCCACTTGGTGAACGACTACTTCCGGTTGCAAAAATCGGGAAAAATCGAGAAATTCCAAATTTTTGGTTGAAATGACCTTCTGTAGACTGCTGTACCAATAACGGTTTGTCTCCGACCTAGGCTTTGTTGTGATTAATGTGTTCACTGGGGTCCACTCTACATGCAGACTACAGGAAGATACATCCATCAGCATCCCTCGGTCTTCCTGGTCAAGAAATAGAACGAAAAATCGTCAAAATTGACGTTTTTTGCACCCAATGACCAACTTTGGGGCTAATTCCCACCCACTCACCCCACCCCGTGATCCCCAATCTTACATTTAAAGGAATCAATATGCATCAGCAGCAGGGTAAAGCTCATTTGTATGTAATTTGCATATTTTTGCAAATAAACGAAAATTAAGACATTTTCTGAAAACAATTCAGCATGGTAAGTGTTAATAGGATAATTTAATTATTGGAATTACTATGGCAATACCTTAACATGTAAACAACCATGACTGAAGGTGCAGAACCAAATAACCTCTGTGGAAATGAAAAGTGCCATTACTGGTTCAACTGCAAATCAAATCCCATGGACTTATCATAAGTTGTTCTCATGAAACTGACCTAAACATCAACTTTAACATATAAACTATGCAAAAGTTTCAAAGTCAATGACCCATGATGAGGGATGGGGCAATATAGTATCCTTGGAAATGAGACGTACAAATGCCTATACAACTGCATACCGAATATAATTCACTTACTATTGGTGGTTCATCTTAAGCTGAACTAATCACAAAATTTATCATGTAAAGCAAGCAAAGTAAAGTTTCATACTCAATAGACAATGACTGAAGGGCTGGGCCTAACAATCTCCATGGAAATAAGATCTGTGAATTCTTATAAAACTGCATACCAAATGTCATTGAACTACCATTAGTGGTTCATCTTCAAGTCTGATCTAATCACATATTTTAACAATAAAATTAACAAAAATAGACTTAAACTAGTGCAAGAAAGGAATGTCTTGATTATAACTCTATAACTTAACATAGATTTGGAACCAAATTCGAACATTTGGTCACATATTATGAGTATAAGATCATGTTGTCCAATGCCAAGGTCTAACTTTCAAACTATTAACTGAAATAAAGTGCAGGGGAGGGTTTTCTGAATAATAACCCAAAATATAAGTACTTTACATGGCATTGCAAAGAAACAGTTACATATGGTCACATATAACGAGAGAAAATCAATATTGATTTTAATATCATAGCTTCAAAGTTCAAGGTCATTGAAACTAAAAATAGACTGAAATATTGAAGAAAAGAGGTTTCCAGATAACCCAAGAACTTTACAATGTGAATTGGAACCAAACAATACAAAGTGTAAAGCTTTAAATCAGTCCGAGTCTAGAGAAGTTTGATTAAATTTAACAGACTGAAAGATTGACCTTCTATACTAAATTGCCTAATTGACAAAAAAAAAAAAACAACCAAGAACATTATTTGGATATTTGTCCCATTGACAATCAAACCATGTCCCCATACTTATATATCATTTATCAATATAAAACCTAAGACAAGACTACACACACTGAAATGTCTTTCTTGCCTGCTTAACTTATCATGATTTAATTTATGTTGAAAGTATGTAATATGGAGGTTTTACTATAATTTTCTAATAGAAATTAGCATTATCAATGATCATTGTAAATGAAGTCAAGGTCAGATGAACCCTGCCAGACAGACATGTACACCTTACAATCATTCCATACACCAAATATAGTTGAACGTTTGCTTATAGTATTTGATAAACAGACAAAACCATGAAAACTCAACATTGACCAATGAACCATAAAAATGAGGTCAAGGTCAGATGAATCCTGCCAGACAGACATACATGTATGCAATCATTCTATACACCAAATATAGTTGACCTATATTTGGTGTATAAAAATAGTTGACCTTTTGCTTATAGTATCTGAGATAGGGACTTTTACCACATAATCTTAACCTTGATCACTGATCCATGAGATGAAGTCGAGGTCAGATGAACCCTGTCTGACAGACATGTAGACCTTACAAGGAACCCATATACCAAATAAAGTTACCCTATTACTCATAATAAGTGAGAAACTTGCGTGACAAAAAAACAATTTTTTATCCAGAAATTTATCAGCAGTTGCTGAACCATGAAAATCAGGTCAAGGACATACGCCAGACTGAAACTTCTTAAAATAAGGCATCTGTATATAAAGTATGAAGAATCCATGTCTTCTACCTTCTGAAATATAAATCTTTAAACAAATAGGTTACGCTGTCGCCACAGGAAGATTGTAATTCCTATGTCTCGCATTTTGCAAATTAAGTCGCAGGCAAGACAGAAACTGCTGAAAAGATTTCTTATATTGACAGCCCTATAAACATATGATGGGGTTAAACTACATATGTTTTTGGAATATCAACCCGAACCCTTTTAATATCTTAATCAGTTGAATAAGTTACATAGACTGAAGAATGTACATTTGTACAATTACAACAGTTTAGCAAAAAACATAACCGACTTTAATTCTAGTATATTATGATAGAACCATATGTACAATTTTTTTCTATAAATTTAGAAATACAGTGATTCAGACATCAATATGTAAGACTTTACGACTTCATGATTTTATATCAGAAGGTTAAGTACTTTGAATTTCTCATATGAACTACAAGCATATCAAAGAATGCTCCCAGCTCATAAGTGCAAGCTCAATCACTCTTATATCTAAAATTCTGAATCACTGAATTAATTTACTTTTATAGAAAAATTGCAAATATGGCAAAAATTACTGTTTTTGAAACAGTGGTGTTCTAATTCCATCTTTCTTCAATAGTGACAAAGAACAACTGAAACAAGCATTAAAAAATTACACAAGACATTTATTGGGTCAAAAATTTTGTAAGAAATGATACCAAATAACAAGTTGTTAAGCTTTTGAAAATAGAAAATTTTGTAAGACACATGGTTTTGACTAATTATTTCCATGATGTGAAGGCAAGCTACTCATTGTTCACTGTGACATATGTAAGTTTGTTCTATTTCTTTTCCATAATCAACTCTTTTAATTTATCTGCATTAGCTCCAGTGATCTCCCCTACCTGAAATACAAAGCATATATCCTAAGTAATTCATCATTTTAAATATCATTTAAAGATAAATAAAATAAAGTTGAGGTTCCGAATCTTAGTTAACCTACTCACAAGAACATGAATTTGTTACTCCAATTTTGTTTTGCCGTTCTAGTGTAAAATTATACCACGACCAAATAAGACAATAATAGTGTTGCTGCCATTAAATCTTCCAATATCAGTCAGAGGTATTACTTAAACATGTGATTTCTGGATCCCCTATTTAAGTTATAATACCATTTAAAATTGAAAAATGTTAACAAAATTTGACACAGAATCTGTAAAATCACTTAAATAAGTAGTTTGAGAAGTAAAATTTTAAAACACTTAAGTGATAATATTTTTTTTCATTTTTTCATACAAGCTTTTATCTTTTATGGGTTAAATTAATTCCTTTGACAAAAAACCAGTATACATGAAGAAATGTTCTTTTGTTTAGAGTCTGTCAGCTTTTACCTTTTATTTGAATTAAGCAATAACTTGAATAGCTTTTGCCTTGTAGATGTATAATTAAATTTCACTCTTTTCCCTATTTGAAAGCTTTGGTTTTTGGTGGGGTTTTGTGTTGCTCAGTCTTTACTTTTCTATGTTGTGTTTCAATTGTTGTTTATCTTTATGTCATTTTTTTGCCATGGCAATGTCAGTTTGTTTTCGATTTAGGAGTTTGAATATCCTTTTTTAATTTTTCTCGCCACTCTTTTTTGCACTATTACTTTGGAGTTCATATTTACAACAGTGGTATCAATATATATTCAAATTGCAAGAGACTTGATGACATCAAGGTTTACATTCAAACTTAATTAATCAAATATTGTTGTAATTCATCCAAATTTGCTTAGTTCACGATAATTCATGTGATCAAATGTTTCTTTACCAAGCATTGTATGTTTAACCCGCCACATTCTAATGTGCCTGTCCCAAGTCAGGAGCCTGCAGTTCAGTGGTTGTCATTGGTTCATGTCTGTCATGTTTGTTTTTCGTAAATCATGTAAATTGTTTTGTTATGAATTAGGCCGTTAGTTTTTTCAATTAAATTGTTTCATATTATTCATGTCAGGGCCTTTTATTGCTGATTTTACGGTTGGGGTTTTCTCATTGTTGAAGGGGGTACGGTTGCCTATAATTGCTTACATCCACTTCATTTGAACTTTTGTGGATAGTTGGCTCAATGGTAATCATACCGCATCTCCTTATTTTTATATAGTACATTCTAAGCTTAAAATACTCTTGACATTTTATGTATTAGTTGGGGTTTTTTTTTTGCATTTTATCTGTAATCACATTATTAATGTTAGCATTCAAACATACAGTTCAACATTCTATTGGTTTGTTATTATAGATTCCTTTCAGAACATGTATTGATTTTAACTAATGTAGAGATACAAACTCATAACTGAAATATAAACACTTAATGAAAATAAATAATGGATTGCATGAAAATTAATGTTTTATTATTTTCATGAATTTTGTGCATAGATCATTTGTGGCTTTCCACTACACAATTTCAAACATTTCCCCTTTTCTAAAAATGCAATTAATAAAATAACTTGTGTTTGGTTTTTTTCTTCCCTACAGCTACCTACCCTGTATTTTTTTGCCTACCCTAAAGATGATATCAGCCATTTTTGGTAGTATATGGTGTCAAAATTGCAGGTGGTTCCCATATACTCAAGGTAAAAAAATTGAGAAAATAAAAAACTTGTACCTACCTACCTCATTTTTCTAACATAGAAACTTTATGCACTAATATTTTATTGTTTGGTCTTATATTACAACCATGACAACAAGCAGAAATGAATTGATCTGATTGATTTTTATCAGGTTAATTAACATCCGATTGTCAATACTTCATATTTGAGATAAGAAGAATATTTACATGAAGTAAATAAGGTAGATTTCACAAAGTGAGTCAACCTGGCTTAAGGGGTGAATTTTGGGCTAAAATTTAGGCTAATAACTGGAAAAGAAAAAGAATGTAGGGTTTGGGTAATAAGTAAAATAAAAGATGACAGGAAAGAGGAAAATGTACAATAGTACTGGACAACACAGCAAGCTAACCAATCATCAAACACTTATTCTTCCACATTGTCAAATAAAAATACAACTAAGTTAGGGAACAATAAGAATGTAAGAAGTCGGCAAGGAATCAATAAAAAAAAAATAAATGTGGATAGTGTCCACATGTGGACACAGATGATGCCCCCGCTTGCATATCATATAGTTATAAAGGGACATAACTGAAGAACGGTTAAAGTGACACCACCAAAATTCAAACTTGATCTGTGTTTTGTGGTAATAAGCATTGTGTATAAGTTTCATACTATTTGGTTGAGGCAAACTCAAGTTTGAGAACGGAAACCAATTTTGGGAAGTACGGACGTTTGTTCGTACGTACAGACGGACAAGGGTTAAACTTTATGCCCCCACTGCTAAGGCAGGGGCATAAAAAAGGAAGATAGAAAACTTCATGGCCAAAAGAAAAAAGACAACCAAAAGCCTACAAAATACTAAATGGGAAACTACCCATTAAGAAAGCGGAACCCCTACCAAAATATGGGGGTGAATTCTCTAGCTCTGGAAGGTTCCTGCTCCCCAAGTGAAGTATGTTGTGTTACTCACGTTAAAATTCTATAAATAATAGATGATAAGTGATAGCTGACTGGTGGAGGTCTTTTATTTCTATAAATCAAGACATTACCAAATATGTCCACTAATTTTGTGTTTGCTGTGAATTGACTGTAAGTGTTGCTCTCCACCCATTGCAGTTCATTAAAAAATTAGTACCTCTCACCTTTCAAATGACTCTTTACAATAACACTTTGTATAGACATTTTTAGCTATAAAAGAAATGAAGTAGAATTCAAATCTAAAAGAATTGTATGCTTTATTTTATCACCTTGCGCTTTGACGACTTGACTGCGGCTTTCTACAGCAGTTGGTTAAAATTTCTGACCAGTTGAACAGTTTGGTTTGATAAAAATATTGCAAGAGGTGGAGAGTAGCATTTACAGTAAAGTCCCAGTAACTCCTTGGTTTAATTTCCTAGTTATATGTATGGTGTTGGCCATGTCTAACGACAGTTGGGACATTAAACTTCCAGGTGATAATAAAATGCATCATTTCCCCACAGTATGGTAGAAATTGCCACATAACACAACTCTAGAATTATTATTTATTTATTTATTTTAGATCTCTGGCTGCTACCGAAATGTGTTTGATGGCATTAGGGGTAACCAATCATAATTTTCCAATAGAATCAAAAATGATTAGCATTGTAAATACGTGTGAATAAGTACTTTAGATCATTCATAATTGAGCAATCTGTGTTATAAAATAAGGAGATATGGTATGATTGCCAATGAGACAACTATCCACCAAAAAACCAAATGACATATAGATGTTATAATTAGTAATAGTCTAATCAAAATCAAACCCCTCACTTAATTACTCTTTTGTCATAGCTCAGACATAACTACTGTCTAATTTTGCTTATAACTTATTAAGGTCTAAATTTTGTATTTTCCTTTATCTAAAAAAAAAAAAAATAAGACTTCAACAATTCATGCAAAGCAAAAAATTTGACCTGCATCAAAATGTTGCACATGTCGACTTTGATATATCGAAGTCGACTTTCTGATAGTAAGTTTTTCTTATCATAGTACATTATTTGGCTTCTGTAAGTTAGAAACAAAAAATAGCTCAGACTGCTAATATTGATGTGTCATACTTGGGTGTCGAGCACTTGACTTGTCCAACATGTAACAAAAGAGGTTTTATGGTAATGAGAATGGTGTCAGTAACCACATAGGAAAGTGATGGAAACCTAACCAGATCCCTTACTTTTAAGTCAAACCCCAAATCAGTGTTTATATTCAGTTTGCATCTGCATTTAACTTACCTTTTGCCCGCCTTTGTATAGCTGAAAAGTAGGCATTGCACTAATCCCACAGCTTTGTGCTAAGTCCTGAAAAAATATTGAATTATGCTGAATACGAATAAGATAAAAGGAAGTCTGTATTGAAAACTGCTCTTTCGGCATAATAATGATCACATAGGGAAAATGTTTCAAGGTCTAACAATTCTGCAAGTGTTATTATGTTTTGCATACATTTTTTTATTACAAATCCATTCCCTATTTTTTAGGTTTAAATATTCAACAAATGTGCACAAAGCCTACACTGTGGAATTTTTAAGTGTCTGTGTCTTAGAATTGGTATGATCAATTGAAAAGACGAGGTTCTAAAAATTAAAATACTGTAAATTCAGAAATTATTGCAATGTTTTTATTATTGCAAAAACTGCAACAGGGTTATAAACGCAATAATTTAAACTCGCATTTTGAAATTTTGTATATGAATTAAACAGGATTTTTCTCAAAATCGCAAAAATTAAAATCGCATTTTAATCTAAAATGACAAAATCGCAATATAAAATGCACGCAATAATTTCTGAATTTACAGTATATTATTTAGATTCACATACATAAATAACTTATATTTATGTCAAAGATTGTTTGATAAACAAGGAATTTGAATATAAAGAGGAGGGCTAAATAAAATCAATCAATGTAGAAACATGTGCTTTACACAAGTCCGGGAATAAGACTAACATTTTCTGACTAGGGGCCCAACCTGCCACAATATGAAAATTAATTTAAGCACTATGGGCATTTTCATAAAAGTTTTAGGGGCCCAACCCAATTTTCAGTAGCATTGGCTACTGGGTCCCTGCAAGTAATGTTTCTTATTAGTGTGGTATTGCTTTAATAAATGGTATAGCGCAAACGTAGGTCAACTGCTGTTCCACACTTCAACTATGAACTGTCAGTTAATCCAACTACCAATGTAAAAATCAATATCAGTGCTCATAATCCATATCAAAAGTACCAAGTAATCATTTTCTGTCAGCCATTGTCCTTGATTGCCTTTATTTACTATTTACAGTCTTAAGAGATGAAAAACGGGATTAAAAAATTTCACACTGGCTAAATATATTTTTGAAAAGCCCTGATTGAGATACAAATGTCTTTGGAATTACTTATGAAATGAATTTTTTTTACATATAGCACAAGTATGGATGATGGGTTATCATACTCCCAACACCAAGTTTATTCTCAGTCACACCAGGAAACTTGGATATTCCTCCCTTCTTGGAGGGAATTTGGAAACACTCTCCAAATACTGCTTAAAATTGCTACATTTTGATTATTGTGATAGCTACATCTCTCCCAACATCACAAATTAGTTGCCCTTATCTATGTCGACAAGGGACAGTCAGGAAATGAAAAATTTATTATGTAATACACAACTTTACTTCCTGTTTAAATTTCATATCTCATAAGTTTTGATGAATTAACTTACAAATGTGTGTTTAAAATAAAACATTGTACTTTTTATCCATTTTACCTGATTAAGTGATACTTATTCAATAAACTGTTAACACAGAGATATGTCTCGCCTTTTTGTTATTTTGATAATGCAAATATTGAAATTAAAATAGCAATACTTTAACATGTAAGTTATGCAAATATTCAAAGTCAATGAACCATGACTGAAGGTACAGGGCTTAAACAATCTCCATAGAAATGAGATGTGCCAATGCTAATACAACTGCATACCAAATACCATTGACTTTTCATAAGTCGTTCCCTTTAAACAAACCTAAACACAAACATTAACTTGTAAACTATGTAAAAGTTTCAAAGTCAATCAACCATGATGAGGGGGTGGGGAAATATAATCTCGATGGAAACGCAACTTGCAAATGCAACAAAATCATTGACTTTACATTAGTGGTTCATCTTAAACTGACCTAACCGCAAACTAATACATGTAAACTAAGCAAAAGTTTCAAAGTCAATAGACCATGATTGAGGGGTATGGACCAAATATAGATGTGGTAATGCTTATACAACTGCATACAAAATATCATTGACCTACCACTAGTGGTTCCCCATAAACTGACCTAATCACAAACTAATACATATAAACTAAGCAAAGCTTCAAAGTCAATAGACCATGACTGAGGGAGCAGTGCCAAATAATCTCCATGGTAATGAGATGTGCCAATGCTAATACAACTGCATACCAAATATCATTGACCTACCACTAGTGGTTCACCATAAACTAGACCTAATCACAAACTTATACATTGTTGACATTGCCGCCGCTGGAAACAGCATACCTATGTCTCGCTTTTTGACTTCGTCAAGGCGAGACAAAAACCTTTTCTTGACTTTTTACTGTTTTTTTTTACATGTTAATATTTTATTAACATAAATGAACTAGATTGTTTTTAAAGAATGGAAATAGTGGGCACTGAAGAAACTTTTGTAGAAATAAGTTTAATTGTAAATATAGTAAGTAAGAAACAAGAATTTAAAATATCTAACCAAGGGTTTTAACTAAGAAGTAATTTTTTTGGTTAAAAATTATTGAAAAATATAGGGTTTGTTAAGCCATTTTTTTTGTGCTCAGTCTGGAATGAACATTTCAAATATTAAGGAAAAGTTAAAACCATGAGAAGAACTCATCCATCATGTCCATAAGTAAATGTACTTACTTCCTCTTCATCTACATCAACTTTTAGAAACATTACATCAGAAAATTCTTTGGCCATTTCCTGAAATAAAAAAAATACCTAGAACTGTGAGTGAACTCACAAAAGGGTACCTACCTCTTGCCCCGCAATACTATTATTTTTTTTTAATACAAACTGTAAAAGGACAAATATATTAGTAATAAAATATAACTAAGATTGCACTTATTGGAGACTATTACTGAATCTTGGGACTATTTTTAAATACGTTAAGTAAGTACATTGTAACTAAGTTCAAATATCTCTCATGACATGACAAAATGTAAAACAATTCAAACAAGAAAAAGAACCAAATGCTTGATTTAAAATAAAACAATAAATGTGAAACAAATATGACGGATAGCAAACAATGACTACTACTAATTACAGGCTCCCACTTGGGACAGGCACATACAGAATGTGGCGGGGTTAAACATGTTTGCTAGCGCTCAACCCTTACCTAACCAGGGACAATGGTAGAACCCTACCCTATACTTTAACATTTAAGTTATGCAAATATTCAAAGTCAATGAACCATGACTGAAGGTACAGGGTTAAACAATCTCCATGGAAATGAGATGTGCCAATGCTAATGCAACTGCATACCAAATACCATTGATGAATATCATTCCCTTTAAACAAACCTAAACACAAACATTAACTTGTAAACTATGTAAAAGTTTCAAAGTCAATGAACCATGATTAGGGGGTGGGGCTATATAATCTACATGGAAATGAAATTTGCAAATGCATTGCAAACAAAATATCATTGAATTAACATTAGTGGTTCATCTTAAACTGATCTAATCACAACTAATACATGTAAAGTACGATGTAAGCAAAAGTTTCAAAGTCAATTGACCATGACTGAGGGGGCAGGGCCAAACAATCTCCATGGAAATAAGATATGCCTATACTTATACAACTGCATACCAAATATCATTGACCTACCACTAGTGGTTCCCCATATGGGCATAAACTGATCTTATCACAAACTAATACATGTAGAGTAAGCAAAAGTTTCAGTCAATTGACCATGACTGAGGGGGCAGGGCCAAATAATCTCCATGGAAATAAGATATGCCAATACTTATACAACTGCATACAAAATACCATTGACCTACCACTAGTGGTTCCCCATATGGGCATAAACTGATCTAATCGCAAACAAATACATGTAAAGTAAGCAAAAGTGTCAAAGTCAATTTACCATGACTGAGGGGACAGGGCCAAATAATCTCCATGGAAATAAGATATTTGCCAATGCTTATACAACTGCATACCAAATATCATTGACCTACCACTAGTGGTCCCCATAAACTGACCATGACTGAGGGGACAGGGCCAAATAATCTCCATTGAAATGTGATGTGCCAATGCTAATACAACTGCATAACAAATATCATTCACCTACCACTAGTGGTTCCCCATAATCTAGACCTAATCACAAACTAGTACATTGTTGCTGCCACCTCACCAGAAACAGCATACCTATATCTCGCTTTTTTACTCCATCAAGGTGATACAATAATCAGTTGGAAATGGCTTGACACATCAGTTTGGCACGAACCACAAAAAAACAACTAACAAAAGGAAACAAATTATCCATCTAAGAGTACTTGGAGATACTGAAAGCTAGTTCAAGGCCAATTACAACTAATAAATAAATCATGTTTTCCAAGACTGTACAATGTACAGTACATGTCTAATGTACATGTATATCCTGGAATCTACAAATGTGCATGCATGTTTTCCTTGTTTACCTTACATAGCCTCAATTGAATTGTGACTCTGAAACTGTTAAAACAACACCAGTGATTCATACAGAAAACAAATCAAGGATAAAAGGACAAAAGGTAATACACATGTAAATAATGCCCCACATCAAATATGACAACTTTTATGTGTGTTCAACAACTTAATTGATAATACATGTACACTCAATCTAATAGATGACTAGTTTGATGATTCAATAATCGTTTGTTTATTTTGTTTTATAATGTTAAACAAAAAAAGACTTAAATAATAAACATTTAAGTACACTTTATTTCAAGTCCGTTAATTGTGTTTTAATATTTTCAGAAATATCGCAAAATTAAATACCCCGAAATTCATAGGTAATATGAAATTCGTGAAAAATAAGACGTACAAAATGAAAATGCTAAAAAAGTACTTGCATCTGTAATAAGAAAATTTGATTATCTCCCCTTAACATGTTGGATCTTGATCATATTTCTTTAAGTACATACTAAAGTAGTGTTTTCTTCAACTACATGTATAAATTTTCATCAATTTCTGTCTGGTCCCTTATGAGGAGTTGCACTGACTTACAAGGCAAAATGAATTTCCTATTACTCCAAAAAGAGGTATAAAAGTAGAATATGTTCACTATATGGGACAAAAATTCCTCTGCTTATATAATGTAGGCAGGAGTATAGCTTCAGTTCTTTATCAAGGACAGTTTTTGACAATTAATGAGTAATGCATCAAATAAAACTATACAGGAACTACCTCTGCCATGTGTAAGCTGCTATGGATGATATTACAATTGCAACTGACAATAAAATGCTTCGCTGGGGCGCAGCTTGATACGACCGCAGAGGTCGAACCCTGAACAGTTGGGGCAAGTATGGACACAACATTCAAGCTTGATACAGCTCTGAATTTGGATTGTTATTAAATATTTGACACAGCATAGGTTTCTGACACAGAAAGAATGTGGTCTAAGAACTTGAATTTTTTTAATTTACCTATTATGGTCCAATGTCCAAAATCAAAATACATGGTTAGATTCAGCATATCAAAGAACCCCATATATTCAATTTTTGTTAAAATCAAACAAAGTTTAATTTTGGACCCCAACTTGGACAAACTTGAAAACTGGGCCCATAATCAAAAATCTAAACACATGTTTAGATTCAGCATATCAAAGAACCCCAAGAATTCAATTTTTGCTAAAATCAAACTAAGTTTAATTTTGGACCCTTTGGACCTTAATGTAGACCAATTTAAAAAACGGGACTTAAAATTAAAAATCTAAATACGCGGTTAGATTTGGAATATCAAAGAACCCCAATAATTCAATTTTTGATGAAATCAAACAAAGTTTAATTTTGGACCCTTTTGACCTCAATATGAACCAATTTGATAGCGGGGCCCACAAATAAAAAATCTAAATTCATGGTTAGATTCAGCATATCAAAGAACCCCATATATTCAATTTTTGTTGAAATCAAAAAAAGTTTAATTTTGGACCCCAACTTGGACCAACTTGAAAACTGGGCCCATAATCAAAAATCTAAACACATGTTTAGATTCAGCATATCAAAGAACCCCAAGAATTCAATTTTTGTTAAAATCAAACTAAGTTTAATTTTGGACCCTTTGGACCTCAATGAAGACCAATTTAAAAAACGGGACCCAAATTAAAAATCTAAAAACACGGTTAGATTTGGCATATCAAAGAACCCCAATAATTCAATTTTCGATAAAATCAAACAAAGTTTCATTTTGGACCCTTTTGACCTCAATATGAACCAATTTGATAGCGGGGCCTACAAATAAAAAATCTAAATACATGGTTAGATTCAGCATATAAAAGAACCTCATATATTCAATTTTTGTTGAAATCAAACAAAGTTTAATTTTGGACCCCAATTTGGACCAACTTGAAAACTGGGCCCATAATCAAAAATCTAAATACATGTTTAGATTCAGCATATCAAAGAACCCCATATATTCAATTTTTGTTGAAATCAAACAAAGTTTAAATACTGGACCCTATCTTGGACCAACTTGAAAACTGGGCCCATAATCAAAAATCTAAACACATGTTTAGATTCAGCAAATCAAAGAACCCCAAGAATTCAATTTTTGTTAAAATCAAACTAAGTTTAATTTTGGACCCTTTGGACCTCAATGTAGACCAATTTAAAAAACAGGACCCAAAATTAAAAACCTAAATACAAGGTTAGATTTGGAATATCAAAGAACCCCAATAATTCAATTTTAGATGAAATCAAACAAAGTTTAATTTTGGACCCTTTTGATCTCAATATGAACCAATTAGATAACAGGGTCCACAAATAAAAAATCTAAATACATGGTTAGATTCAGCATATCAAAGAACCCCATATATTCAATTTTTGTTGAAATCAAACAAAGTTTAATTTTGGACCCCAATTTGGACCAACTTGAAAACTGGGCCAAAAATCAAAAATCTAAACACATGTTTAGATTCAGCATATCAAAGAACCTCATATATTCAATTTTTGCTAAAATCAAACAAAGTTTAATTTTGGACCCTTTGGACATTAATGTAGACCAATTTGAAAACTGGACCCAAAATTAAAAATCTAAATACACTGTTAGATTCAGCATAACAAATAAATAAATGTGATCAAAGATTTTACAAATCTAATGCGCCATACTGTGCAATTAAAGATTACGTCTTGAAATTTTTCAATATTTGAAATTTGAAAAAAAAAAAATATTTGAAGAATAATTCTTTTTAATTTCTGAAATCTGAAATGAGAAAAAATTGGCCCCCCACAATTTCTTTTTATCCCCCCCCCCTTTTTCCCCCCAAAAAATTCTTTCCCTCAAGATATGGTCATAATCTCAATTCAAATTTCCAATGGAGTTGGCAACCATAATTACCCATTTAAATTTACCATAGTGCTAACTTAATCTATTTTATAATAGAATTAATAAAAATATAGTGTCAAATCTTTCATATGGATTTTTTTGTAAAAAAAAAAGATGAAAACATTTGCAGATATTTTTACTGGTCTTCCTTTATAAATATGCATTTCTTTAAACATAATTTAAAAGCAGTGTAAGGGAAGTAACCAAAACGTTGTATTTGGATTACCTCCCTTACACTGTTTTAGATTATCTTTATTGTTCATTAACCATTACTTTATACATAATTTAAAAGCAGTGTAAGGGAGATAATTTCAATGATGTATTTGATTTATCTCCCTTACACTGCTTTAAATTATGTTTTGTACTAAAGTATTTGTCCATTAACCAGGACAACCTTGTTTTTCCCCCTTTTTTGCCCCTAATTCCTAAACGGTTTGAGCCATAACCCCCCAAAGCAAATCCTAACCATCCCTTTGTGGTATGGAAACTTGTAGTATAATTTCAGAGAGATCCATACACCGTTCCACAGTTATTGTCTGGAAACTAGAAAATGCTCATTTTTGGCCCCTTTTTGGCCCCTAATTCCTTAACTGTTGGTACCATAACCCCCAAAATCAAACCCAAACTTCCTTTTGTGGTATTTAACCTTATGGTCAAATTTCAAAAAGATCCATTCACTTAAACTAAAGTTAGAGTGCGAAAACCAATATGTATTCAGATGACGACGCTGGACGACGACGACGACGACGACGACGACGCCAACGTCATACCAATATACGACCACAAATTTTTTTTGCGGTCGTATAAAAATCTAAATCAGCTGAACTGAATGTTAAATTATATAGGCCCCATGTAAATGAACTAATTTTTATAACTTCTAGTTTAATGAAGCAAATTTTCTATTCCAACATTTGACATGATATAAATAAATTCAATGTTCTTCAAAATTTTATTTTCTCGTAACTTACCTGTAATTTAGGTGCAATCATTTTACAAGGACCACACCAAGTGGCATAAAAATCAACAACAAGTAATTTAGATTCATTTTTTTTCTTATCTTCAAACTCATCCTGTAAAAAGATATGAATGGTCATGTAGAATATAATCTCAGAATTAATTTTCAACAAGGAATCATTCATAATCATACTTAATTATTGGGAGTCTTTTTTTATTTTGTAGTAATTTTCACGCATGTTCTGACAGTTGCAAGCTTTACTGGTAGGAAGCCACAGTCTTACATGTACGTCATGATAGTGCTGAAAGTGGCGTTAAACACTAATCAATCAATTAATCTTACGTCATGGATATTAACATGTTAATTGTTTTGATTACAATTTCTGTTACCTGTGTTACCAGTGATAAAGAAATTGGTCAATGGCATATAAAATGTGTTCACTGGTAATTTTTGGCTGTTCTGTGGTGCAAGTCTTCTACATAACAGTTTTTTTTTGTACATGTAGTATACAAAAATAAATGGGGAATGTGTCCATGGGACAGAGATGATGCCCCCACTTGCATATAACGTTATAAAGGGATATAACTCAAGAACTGTAAAAGTGACGCTACCCAAATAAGTACTTGATCTGAGTTTGGTGGTAATAAGCATTCTGCATTTGGTTTAGGCAAACTAAAGTTAAGAGGACAGAAACAAATATTTCAGGAATTTTTTTGTAAAGGGGCATAACTCTAGAACTGTAAAAGTGACGCCACCAATTCAAACTTGATCTGTGTTTTGTGGTAATAACTATTGTGTATAAGTTTCATAACATTTGGTTGAGGCAAACAAAGTAAGAGAATGGAAACGAAAAATTCAGCAATTTTTCCATTTGTAAGGGGGCATAACTCTAGAACGGTAAAAGTGACGCCACCAAAATTCAAACTTGACCTGTGTGTTGTGGTAATAAGCATTGTGTATAGATTTATATGTGGTTGAGGCAAACTAAAGTGAGAGAATGGAAACGAAAAATTCAGCAATTTTTCAATTTGTAAAGGGGCATAACTCTAGAACGGTAAAAGTGATGTCACAAAATTCAAACTTCACCTGTGCTTTGTGGTTATAAGCATCGTGAATAAGTTTCATAACATTTGGTTGAGGTTGGAAACCTGAATTTTGGGACGTACGTACAGGCGGACAAGGGTAAAACTTAATGCCCCCTCCACTACGGTATTCAATTTTTGTTGAAATCAAACAAAGTTTAATTTTGGACCCCGATTTGGACAAACTTGAAAACTGGGCCCATAATCAAAAATCTAAATACATGTTTAGATTCAGCATATCAAAGAACCCTAAGAATTCAATTTTTGTTGAAATCAAACAAAGTTTAATTTTGGACCCCGATTTGGACCAACTTGAAAACTGGGCCCATAATCAAAAATCTAAATACATGTTTAGATTCAGCATATCAAAGAACCCTAAAAATTCAATTTTTGTTAATATCAAACTTAGTTTAATTTTGGACCCTTTGGACCTTAATGTAGACCAATTTGAAAACAGAACTAATAAAATGCTTCGCTGGGCGCAGCTTGATACGACCGCAGAGGTCGAACCCTGAACAGTTGGGGCAAGTATGGACACAACATTCAAGCTTGATACAGCTCTGAATTTGGATTGTGATTAAATATTTGAAACAGCATAGGTTTCTGACACAGAAAGAGTGTGGTCTAAGAACTTAAATTTTTTTAATTTACCTATTTTGGTCCAATGTCCAAAATCAAAATACATGGTTAGATTCAGCATATCAAAGAACCCCATATATTCAATTTTTGTTGAAATCAAACAAAGTTTAATTTTGGACCCCAACTTGGACCAACTTGAAAACTGGGCCCATAATCAAAAATCTAAACACATGTTTAGATTCAGCATATCAAAGAACCCCAAGAATTCAATTTTTGTTAAAATCAAACTAAGTTTAATTTTGGACCCTTTGGACCTTAATGTAGACCAATTTAAAAAACGGGACCCAAAAATTAAAAATCTAAATACACGGTTAGATTTGGCATATCAAAGAACCCCAATAATTCAATTTTTGATGAAATCAAACAAAGTTTAATTTTGGACCCCTTTGACCTCAATATGAACCAATTTGATAGCGGGCCCACAAATAAAAAATCTAAATACATGGTAAGATTCAGCATATCAAAGAACCCCATATATTCAATTTTTGTTGAAATCAAACAAAGTTTAATTTTGGACCCCAATTTGGACCAACTTGAAAACTGGGCCAAAAATCAAAAATCTAAATACATGTTTAGATTCAGCATATCAAAGAACCCCATATTTTCAATTTTTGTTGAAATCAAACAAAGTTTAATTTTGGACCCCAATTTGGACCAACTTGAAAACTGGGCCAAAAATCAAAAATCTAAATACATGTTTAGATTCAGCATATCAAAGAACCCCATATATTCAATTTTTATTGAAATCAAACAAAGTTTAATTTTGGACCCTTTGGACCTTAATGTAGACCAATTTAAAAAACAGGACCCAAAATTAAAAATCTAAATACACGGTTAGATTTGGCATATCAAAGAACCCCAATAATTCAATTTTTGATGAAATCAAACAAAGTTTAATTTTGGACCCCTTTGACCTCAATATGAACCAATTTGATAGCGGGCCCACAAATAAAAAATCTAAATACATGGTAAGATTCAGCATATCAAAGAACCCCATATATTCAATTTTTGTTGAAATCAAACAAAGTTTAATTTTGGACCCCAATTTGGACCAACTTGAAAACTGGGCCAAAAATCAAAAATCTAAATACATGTTTAGATTCAGCATATCAAAGAACCCCATATATTCAATTTTTGTTGAAATCAAACAAAGTTTAATTTTGGACCCCAATTTGGACCAACTTGAAAACTGGGCCAAAAATCAAAAATCTAAATACATGTTTAGATTCAGCATATCAAAGAACCCCATATATTCAATTTTTATTGAAATCAAACAAAGTTTAATTTTGGACCCTTTGGACCTTAATGTAGACCAATTTAAAAAACGGGACCCAAAATTAAAAATCTAAATACACGGTTAGATTTGGCATATCAAAGAACCCCAATAATTCAATTTTTGATGAAATCAAACAAAGTTTAATTTTGGACCCCTTTGACCTCAAAATGAACCAATTTGATAGCAGGCCCACAAATAAAAAATCTAAATACATGGTAAGATTCAGCATATCAAAGAACCCCATATATTCAATTTTTGTTGAAATCAAACAAAGTTTAATTTTGGACCCCAATTTGGACCAACTTGAAAACTGGGCCAAAAATCAAAAATCTAAATACATGTTTAGATTCAGCATATCAAAGAACCCCATATATACAATTTTTATTGAAATCAAACAAGTTTAATTTTGGACCCTTTGGACCTTAATGTAGACCAATTTAAAAAACGGGACCCAAAATTAAAAATCTAAATACACGGTTAGATTTGGTATATAAAAGAACCCCAATAATTCAATTTTTGATGAAATCAAACAAAGTTTAATTTTGGACCCCAATTTGGACCAACTTGAAAACTGGGCCAAAAATCAAAAATCTAAATACATGTTTAGATTCAGCATATCAAAGAACCCCATATATTCAATTTTTGTTGAAATCAAACAAAGTTTAATTTTGGACCCTTTGGACCTTAATGTAGACCAATTTAAAAAACGGGACCCAAAATTAAAAATCTAAATACACGGTTAGATTTGGCATATCAAAGAACCCCAATAATTCAATTTTTGATGAAATCAAACAAAGTTTAATTTTGGACCCTTTTGACCTCAATATGAACCAATTTGATAGCGGGGTCCACAAATAAAAAATCTAAATACATGGTTAGATTCAGCATATCAAAGAAACCCATATATTCAATTTTTGTTGAAATCAAACAAAGTTTTATTTGGGCCCCAATTTGGACCAACTTGAAAACTGGGCCAAAAATCAAAAATCTAAATACATGTTTAGATTCAGCATATCAAAGAATCCCATATATTCATTTTTTGTTAAAATCAAACAAAGTTTAATTTTGGACCCTTTGGACCTTAATGTAGACCAATTTGAAAACTGGACCCAAAATTAAAAATCTAAATACACGGTTAGATTCGGCATAACAAATAATTAAATGTGGTCAAAGATTTTACAAATCTAATGCGCCATACTGTGCAATTAAAGATTACTTCTTCAAATTTTTCAATATTTGAAATTTGAAAAAAAAATAATATTTGAAGAATAATTCTTTTTAATTTCTGAAATCTGAAATGAGAAAAAATTGACCCCCCACAATTTCTTTTTACCCCCCCCCCCTTTTTACCCCAAAAAAATTCTTTCCCTCAAGATATGGTCATAATCTCAATTCAAATTTCCAATGGAGTTTGCAACCATAATTACCCATTTAAATTTACCATAGTGCTAACTTAATCTATTTTATAATAGAATTTAAAATATAGTGTCAAATCTTTCATATGGATTTTTTTGTGAAAAAAAAAGATGCAACATTTGCAGATATTTTTACTGGTCTTCCTTTATAAATATGCATTTCTTTAAACATAATTTAAAAGCAGTGTAAGGGAAGTTACCAAAACGTTGTATTTGGATTACCTCCCTTACACTGTTTTAAATTATCTTAAATGTTCATTAACCATTACTTTATACATAATTTAAAAGCAGTGTAAGGGAGATAATTTCAATGATGTATTTGATTTATCTCCCTTACACTGCTTTAAATTATGTTTTGTACTAAAGTATTTGTCCATTAACCAGGACAACCTTGTTTTTCCCCCTTTTTTGCCCCTAATTCTTAAACGGTTTGAGCCATAACCCCCCAAAGCAAATCCTAACCATCCCTTTGTGGTATGGAAACTTGTAGTATAATTTCAGAGAGATCCATACACCATCCCACAGTTATTGTCTGGAAACTAGAAAATGCTTATTTTTGGCCCCTTTTTGGCCCCTAATTCCTTAACTGTTGGTACCATAACCCCCAAAATCAATCCCCACCTTCCTTTTGTGGTATTGAACCTTATGGTAAAATTTCATAGAGATCCATTCACTTAAACTAAAGTTAGAGTGCGAAAACTAA